CTTGAGTTATTCATGGTATTACATGAGAACACTCAAAAGATGATGATGATGAACAACCGAATCAAGAAGAGACTCGAGTAGTTGGTAGTAGCCTACAACAAAAAAGGCGGAGCGAAGTGATTCATGTTTGACATTTTTATGCAACGCAACCATATGCGACGCAAGCGGGGGATTCGAAAGGTTCGTGCAGCAGTCGCCCCTATCGAGACCCGAGCGCACGCCCAAATGGAGGACGGGAGACAGGTGAGCGAAACAATTCTGGTTGTAGACCTAGAGTCCACCAACCTCAGGGAACCTAGAGCACCCGAGATAGGGCTAGACACGTAGCCCTATCCGGGTCCACGTCACGTGACACCCGAGATGCACGCAAATGCATCACTGAGCGAGATCACGCACGTTTAACACCGAGAAACAGAGTTTATCGGAATATAAATAGCGATACGGAGGTCGCGTCACACAGTGCGTCTCCTCTGTCACACACGTGCATATTCTCCGTGGTGCGTCCTCCACCCTTATCTAGGGTGCATCGTGAAACGACCTGTGCGGTCGAACATCGCCGTAGCTACACCATCGCAACGGTCTCACGCATCACAAAAACACCTATTAACGTAACACTCTATCTTCGTGTTAGTATAAGTGGTAATACTTATATCGTAACATGTTTATGACAAGATTGATGCAGTCTTAATGCCTCTAGTATCTGATATAAGGGATAGGTATCATGACAAACCGTTATAATCACCCATAATAATGGTAGATTAGTATATGAACTTGTTGTTGTACATGCACATACAGGGCAGGAGTAGTTGTAGGTCTCCTCCTCCTTTATCATCTTATCACTCGGTGATGATGATGATGATGATCTTCTACTACACTTACCACAAATAGTATGCCCACAATGAGTATAGGTTTGTATACCATCATCTAGTACATTATTACACAACATACAGGTAAAAGCACGTGTTAGTAGAATACAACATCTCCTTATATTATACTCATCATTATAATCAATACCACTACCAGCTTGAATATATTTATTATCACTACCCATCATAACATCACATTGAATGTATTTACTCCACATACTACTACTATGCGGAGGCGTTACTGTCTGTACACTAGAATGTGACAACACTGTTGTTGTAGTAGTAGTAGCGGGCATATCATGATGATGATGGTATGAAGTAGAGGCAATATCATCATCATCATCATCCTGCATCATCATTATCAGTGATGGACTATGATGATGATGATGAGAGTCTACTGTATTAAGGAGGAGTGGAGTAGGGGGTATATTATTCATAATAACATTCTCTTCATGTCGCCGTCGTGCATCATGTAATTGACGTGTTAATGTAGTAATAATAACCTAATAATCAACATTCACATATATACAGTATAGTGTTGTTATTATAGTTATGTAGTACCTCCTTATCATTAACCCTTCTATTAGCAATAACCTTTTCCTCATCTACACGTATATCATGTAACATTTGTATCCTCTTAAGTTCCCTATCAGCTGCTTCTTGAACAGAACATATCCTAAGCTCTGCATCCTTTAACCCATCCTCTAGCTTTGATACTCTACTCTGATGATATACACTATTACTATTACCATCATCATTATTACTTGCATATCCTCCTTCATATTATTATAATGTTCCCTTTCCTTCATCAGCTTTACCTCAGTATCACTACTGATACTCCTGATAATTGCCTCCTTATTATGTAACTCATCATTCAGTACTTCAATACTCTCTTTCAAGGTAGTATTGTCATCCTCCTAATAATAGATCATACCCGCATCCTCCTTTACACAATCCCCACACTACAGTGGCTTTCAACTTCCTCAATAGTTCTTTTTCATAACTGACCTTACTATCTATCTTCTCCTTATACCCCTTTATACTGCATTCCATCACCTAATCTACCACTACTATTATTATTCTATTACTAGTATGTATTACCTCCATCTGTGTTGTGTGAGTATTCATCATATGTCTATAATGCCTGACTTGCTTTATACTCTCATTATATCTCCTCTCCAACTTCCGACACTCAGATGATACACTCTAATGTATACTACATACCTATTAGCCTTGGTAGTAATACCATCTACTTCTAATTGAGTATTCAACTGCCAATTATTCAACTTATATTGTCGTAGATCCCTTCGTAGGGCTAGATACGACGAGGGGTGGCCTTGTCCTCTCTTGTGGTGGTGATCTCCATCATCCATCATCCTATCATCATCATCATTGTCTTTACATGACCCCTACATATACGTATATAGGCGTCATATAATACTATTCAGTATACCACTTTTGACATCATCATCACCATCGTCATCCTCTCCTCCTTGAGTGCCTGTATCTCTAAATAATCCTGTTCATGCCTGTATGTCTTCCATACTATAATACTGAGTCTATCTAGTACTATTACCTCATCTTATGTATATGACATTGATTAGATAGAAGCTTGATATGTGACTGTAGACCAGCTACTATAGGCAGTATACTCTCTGGTATAATTCTATACTCCAAATTATTATCCAATAACGTGTCGATATTAGTATCATCGTAACCGGATTGCTCCTGTTCCATTGATGGTGTCTTATCCCCTTCATCCTTTAATGTACTAATAACACCAGTATTATACACATCATCTAGTTCCCCTCTCTCTCCTTTAAGTTCATTCATCACCTCATCATCATCCTACTACATGAGATGATAGTATACGAATGGATGTCGTTACATGCTACCATGTTGGACTCTCCTGATTGTTGATAATGATGAGTTTACTATTTCCCTACATAAGGATTGTTACTCTTCTTAACACAAGAGGATAGATCACTTTCCTAAGGCGGCGGCCCACCATGATTTATAACCGTCCTTACAGCTTGAGCATCTATTACAAGAATCATGTGGGAATGAGTATTAGTTGTAGTAGTAGTAGCAGGCTGATTTATAATTATATGTGCATAGTCTATGATGATAGTTGGTCTGTGAGTATTAATAATAATATTAGATGGTAATATAGCAGGCATCTCTCCTGTACAATCCGACACTTTATTATCATCTTCAATAACCAATACCATCATACCATCAACCATAATACTATTACTCGTGGTACTCTTGGTGTCGTCATTATCATCATCATCGTGGTGGTAGTAGTAGTATTGCTGTAGTATATCCATTATTATCTGTGATAGGTGTATAACAGGAGGTATGATACTATCATCGTTATTATCAGGGATAGCTGGTGCTGTTGTTGTTTGAGGTGATGATGTTATGGTAGATAACTGCTGATATGCTACATCCCAACTTGGGGGTGGTATCCACATCTCATCATTTATTGATAAGGGAGCAGCTGCTTGCTGAGACACTCTGTCAATAACATCATCATCATCATCACTACTCATATCCTCTTCTCCATCTTCCTCGTCATCATTATTCATCAACCATACACTCTTCTGAGTTTGGAATATAATCTCAAGAGAGGACTTGAATGCTTCTCGACGAGACTGAGTATGATGATGATGATCATTAGGCTGTGGTGATGATGATGGCAGTGGCGGTGCTGTTATTGGTGATGATGCTTGCTCATTATTATCATTACATAGTGGTGATGATGATGATGGTGTATGATTGGTTACAAGTGGGGAATTATGTTGGAGTGCATCATCATCGTCATCATCATTGAATATATCATCAATAATACGGGATAGCATATGAATACACAAGACGATAATGATTATTGTGATATTGAGTTATGAACAACAACAGGATATATTATAAGGATGGATACTTTCCCGAGTTAATATACAATGGTAACATCTGTAAATAATAATAACCATCGCCATCACAACACATCCTCCCCTATCACTGTTTGATGACATCAGTATAGGTTGATGATATTAGTGCTGCTGCTACTACTAACTCCTAGTGCTGTACTAAGATGAGGTGCACTGTGATAGATGATCATTAGCTATAGCCCTCAACTATAAAGTATACCATCATTATCTACACTCTAATGATTAACATGACCTCCTTCAACCATTGACCTATTATTACTATAGGTATACAATTGATAATAGTCCTAAGGACCTACCATCACCATCCAACAGTCACATGAGTAGCAGTGTACATCATCATCATTAGCAAAGTTATACGCTTCTAGGTCTATGGGTGCTACTGCTGATACTCCTGTTATCGGTAGTCGGATGGAGATATCATCAATGAACTAAGGTTGAATATGTCCACCAACATGACTAGTCGTAATCTTAGTAACACAAGGATGGTGGTAATATGGAAAAGCCCAGTACTAGGAAGAACATTACTCACAAGTGAACTGTTGACGAGCATTAGATAATGACAGAGGGGTGTCCTTTACAGTAGTAGACCTAAACACGAGTTATTGAGAACAGGAAGAAGAAAGCATGGGGTTATTACATGTAGTCCTGTTTGAATTTATTTATGACATCATCACTCAATCCAAAGGAGTCTATCACACTCATCTGGTCATCATTCAAAGAGAATGAGAATAATTGACGATTATTATTCATCCTATCGACATTCTGGGTCTTAGGTATATGCACTATATGATGTTGTATCAACCATCGTCCAATAACCTATTAATACCATACACTCATCATCATCATCTACTATCACCTGTGATGGAGTTATATCCAACTCTTGTGCTATAGTCATTATACGAGGATCATCGAATAGGACCCCTTTACCAAGACCTCTCCATGATAGGAGGGTCATACCCTTTGATTGGAAATACTCGATAGTCTTCTTACCTATACCACTCAAAATAATACACTCACAACGTATCCTCCATACTACGGTATATCAATGGATTGATCTCTATCTGATTAACAACTGGTTCTACTCTTACACCAGGTGATGCCATCAACTCTTCATAATCCTCAATAGTGAAGTTACTAAGGCCGATAGCCTTTACTAAGCCTGACTGTTGCCTAAAGAGATGAGGAGGAGTAAGATAGAACATAAATGATGGATTTCCTTACAGTTCCTGTAACGTCCTATAGGCTTCTACAAACTTACCTGGTACTGGCCAATGTATAAGATAAAGATCGAGATAGGAGGTTTGCCTATATTATAGATAATAATCATTCTACTACTCATACATATATTACAGATCCTTAAGAGTCTTCTTACATTGCTCTATGATAGCATCATGACCAAGATATACTTTATCAGGCCATACTTTACTCACTATAAATAGATCCTTTCTGGGTACACCAGAAGCTATGAGCCCATCACCAACTACCTTTTCATTACCATAGAAGGATGCACAATCGAAAAGCCTGAAGAGATGATGGAGTGGTATAGGTCTTATTACTACTATTACCTATATCCAGCCTTGATTGCATCTATGATAACATCTTTACCATCTCTACCTATCCTCTCCCCAGTAGGAGTATACCCCACTTTATAGGTACCAAACCCTACAGATGGTATGGACATACCATTGGATAGATTAAAAGAGGTCATTGAATCGACAGTAGACATTATTACTACTACTACCACGATGGTGTCATCACCAACAACCCTCCCCCCATATGAACGTATCATCTACAGTCAGGGAAGGATTAACGTTTTCAATACTCCAACGAAGCTAAAACTACTTATCTAGCTGCTCGCACACATCCTCAGCAGTAACACACAACGTAAGGCAACGAAGGACCATAAGATTAAAAATCAACGGGCGAGCGAGATTTCTATTTCTTCATTAGAAAAGTAACTCAACTGTACTTGGACAAATAATTATGATGTGATCCAATTTGGTTGAGTTGTCGAGCAAGGCTTTCCTACTCGTTAGACCCGCGTTCTAATCTATGTAGTGTCATAACTATTATTTATGCACAGAGGTTCACTCCAGTAGCGATACTTGTTGAGTATATGCAGTTTGATTATCATGTTAACCCCTGTAGAGGACGATGATTGGGTCTATCAGAGAGGTCCATCTACTACCTCATCACCAATACTACCATCACCACGACAACCATCATCATCTCGGTAGAATGGCATAGTTAGGATAGGGATATGAAACTATCAGGTCAACTAATAACATGCCATTATCCAAACGGAGATATGAAGCTAATCTCAACTACAGGATAGCATTCTGTGAAAATAAAATAGTAATAATGTGATAAACGATGTCGAGGAGGATGAATAGGAAGAGGAGGAGGTTGAGGAGGAGTTATGATAGTAGGTTATAAGGCATGGTGGTAATTTGGATGTAGCATTGGTTATATCAAGAGATAAGATAGGAGAGGGTAAAGAGATGGAGATAGTAGACCAGGGTATAACATCATCATCTCATTGTGGCCCTATAATACAGGAGATTACAGCATGTGCTCTACTTGGTAAGTATCATCAAGGATGGGTCATGATGATCATGATTATTATCATTAGGTACTATTGTTGTTAGTAGTGGTAATGCGTTCTTAGTATTGGTAAGTGATGCTATACCTATATCCAAGTTACCTGGTGGTCATGTTGTTATGGAAATTACTAAAGTATCATGTATACCATATGATCCTAGAGTAATGATCATAATCATAACATCACTAACAACAGTCGGACATCATCAGTTATCGGACTCAACAACGCTACTTGCTACTCCTGCTATACCTCAAGACTCTACCTCATCATCATCATCATCATCATCTAGCAGTAGTAGTAGTAATGCTAGTACTGCTGCAGCATTCGCCTTAGCAGAGAGGGTTGAAAAGTAATAACACCAAGTCTTGGTAGAGATCCATTAGCAATAATCTTAGGTTGTTTGGTAGTGGTGGGTATTACTATTGTAGATCGTATGATATAACACATAGTCAACAATGGCATCATGATGATGATTCTCGCACTGGTAATGTGTCTTATCATCATTATCAATAACTATATCATCCTAGATGATAATGCCGTATGGCTGAAAGCTGATGCTTTATTCTGTTGGAATAGGCATATGACACAAAATATGTTGGGTAAAGATGCATTAATACCTAATCATAATATTAATCTCGATACATGGTGTACAGTCTTAATGCAGGTAATACTAACAAAAACAACAGTATTAGGACTAGGCGTTATTATTTTTAGGGTTACATTAGCTCACCCACTCCACTATCTGATTATCTAGATGCCATCCTTATTGGTCGTAGAAGTTGTCTAAGAGCTGGTACCAGGTAGTAGTAGTAATGTCATGACGACTACTACAACTACCACTGCTACTATTATAGGTATAATCATCGAGGATTGGATGATTTGGGCGATGTTGCCAATTTTGTAGAAACAGAGTTATTACTATGTAATAGAGATGTGGTATTAGCAGCACATATACAGATCCGTGGATCAGTACCTGTCTTCTGGTCACAAAACCCTGGTAGTAATAGTAGTGTTGGTAGCTACAGTAGTAGTAATGATGAGTCGGTTAGGTACCCAACAACTGGATATAACACGTAGTAAGGAAATGACAGTGTTGGGTTATGATAAGCATATATCTAGTCTTATTAAACGGTATGGTCCTGATGGATGTCTATTCTTAAATCTATTATCAACAGGAAAAGGTACATAATACATGGTAGAGGTATTGATGAATATAATAAGAGTAGGTGGTAATGAGGGAAAGCTTAGTACAGCATTGAAGGATATTATCAACTACTCGCCTCATACACATTCATCCACAATACATATAATTGATTATGATTTCTCTAGGATGGTTAAAAGCAACAATGGTGAGTTATCCTTATAACTACACTAATCATATTATTCTACATTTAGATGTTGATGAGGTATTCAACGCAATAATACAATCTTGCAAAGAATGGATTGATAAGTAGTACTACTCTAGTAGTGAGTATAGAGTATGTTAAGATTTAATATCATTAGATATGGTTGGTGGGCAATAGGTGGTAATAAGGGAAAGAATGGTAGTAGTAATAGTAGAATACAGACTGGTGTAGTACGTACCAACTGTCTAGACTGTTTAGATAGGACTAATGCAGGTAATAATAAAGATTATCGATATACATTATAATACATTATCATAGGCCAACTAGCTGTATCACTCTATATAGTACCCAAGATTCTTACAGCAATACGTCAACCAGTATCAACAGATGTTAAGAAGGTTATAACAACGTTATGGGCACAACATGGTGATCAAATATCGGTAATAATAAACTACTAGTAGTATCAGCTACTATCGTTGTAGATGCACTATACTGGTACTGTATCGGTGTTGACAACACTAGTAACACAAGGGAAGTGTACATGGCAGAATAAAGTAAAACAGAAGGTTAAAAGTGCCAATAGGTAGTAGTATTACTACTACAAGAGCATCTAATAACCATTAGGTATCGTATTAATAACTTTGGTACCGATAGAGATAGGCAAACAGCAATAGATCTTACACTCAAGTTGGCTAGATCTACTCCAACTATTAACACTACTACTAGTAGTAATATTCATCAACAACAAGCACCTCCTACCCAGAGGATACATCTTGGGCCCTCGTCTTCTTCTGGAGACGGTATTGGTAATAATATTAGTGGTAGTAATGGTATATGCCTATGTCATTATAGATACCCGTCCAATAACGTTATGGGTTGGTTCATGGAATGTTAATGCTAGTAAGGTGTGGAATGGTGAAGATCTTAGTGATTGGATGAGGTTAAGGAAGGATGATGAACAATTCTTTGAGATCAATGATGTAATATTAATAATAGCTATTAATGATAATAGTTATAGTTTATAGATATACGTTGTGGGTATGCAGGAGTTTGTTGATCTTAATGCCAAGGCACTATTAAAGAGAGGATTCGCAAGGGTAGTAGTAGTAATACCATTATCATTGGCATCATCAATGTGATTAAGTAGGTAAAGAAGAAGTTTGATAGCGATAATACAGAGCATAGTCTACGGAAAGCTGAGTTTGCTGCTCAATTCAATGAGATACTCACCACAGCTCAACTGGCATCATCTAATGGTGGTGATCGGAGGGATAAGAAGAGGAAGGCTGAGAAATATGTCGAGGTGGTTGTTATGATTAGCATATTACTCTGATGATGATTATTATTATAGTATATGTAGGTATGTTGTACAGCTATGGTTGGTATATACATATCAGTATTCGCTAAGGCATCCATAGTTAATAATATATCTAATGTACATACTAAGAAGGTTAAAGGTGGTCTAGGGGGTAGTCATGGTAATAAGGGTGGTATATTGATGAGTATGCTTATTAATAAGACATTAATAACATTTACTTGTCTACAACTAGAAGCTGGTGAGAGGTAATAATAATAATCTGCAATCTCCTGGTTTCCCTGCTGATGTTGATCTAACTATGTACTTAGGATGATGGAGATTCGTAATGAACAATTATATTTAATAATGGCGGAGTACAAACAACAACTACGTCAACATTATAGTAATTGTCAAGTACAGAGAAGAGTACTCATCGTATTTGGGGATTTCAATTTCCGACTTAATTGTGATAGAACTACAGCTATTAGGCTTATCGAAAAGGGGGATATTGGTAGTAGGTTAATGTTGTAGTGTTGATGTAGTACCCATCTCTTTACAGAACGATTATCTCAATATGATCAGTATAGACAAGGAGAATGTTTAGACCCTATATTAACACATTGCAAAGAGGGACCATTCTCAGATTTCCTACCAACTTACAAGTATTGAATACGAGACCTCTTACACCGATTCATCATTAACAGCTCATGATGCAGGTTCGAACCCGGCACACACCAATATGCTGCTAATCGTACCCCTAGCTGGTGTGATCGCATATTCTTCAACTTCACTAAACCCGGTAGTCTTTGGCTTCGTTCCTACCATTCACATCATCGGTAATAGCTATACCACTATCATCATCATCATAGTGTTATCACGTAGATACATATCTTCTGATCACAAGCCCATCAGTGGTACATTCACATTAGAGACAGGTAGCCTCATTATCGATACCATGCAACAACAACAATCAAGAGATGATAATCAAAAGGAGGCACACCATGAAGGGAGGGATGTCTCTATTCCTCCTCATTCACATCAACAACAGCCAAGGAGAGCACCTACTACCATTGACTTACTATTATGATCACATTTCCTTACTATAAATGCTGAAATTAGCCGTTTCTTCTCATTTATCATAGTTGTGTTATATCTAGTTTATGACTACAGTAGCAAAACAATTGTGGCTACCTGTATGTTCATGGTGGATGTTGTTTGGGGTTACATAACAAAACAACCATGAGTAGATCATAAAAAGACCACTACTAGCAAGATAATGATTGTAGTTTATCATGTTGTGGTGGTGGTTATCATCAATCTATTCGTCTATTACTACCTCCTTTCTTTAAGAGATCCTTAAGCCATGACCTGAATACAGTGATAATATCACCAATATTCATGTAACAGGGTGGTATTTACATCTCCCCTGGATTAAGTGATATTATCAATAATGGCACGATGATAATGGCCAGACCAAGATTCTTTAATAATGCCTCATGCCAGTTATCCCTAATACGATGCTTTACTGATGACGACCTCTTATAAAGGGAGGTCTGTTCAGGGTGATATGTCCTCATCTGATAATGATAGTATACTAAGGTGCTATCATAAGTATTACATGAATAGCAACAGCATGCAATACAACTGCAGTCCTGGCAGCTGCTTTAATAGCCTGTGTTGACGCTAGACTTCGCCATTCTTCAAATATTCTATCAGATACTACGAAACTAAGAGAGAAGTCAAGTAGTACTAATCCCATGTAAGATATTACCTCCTAGGTACCTCCCTACCACCACCACCAGCTACAGCAGCATATATCTCATAACATGCTGTCTTCATGTTCTCGGCCACCCACATAGCAAGACCTAATAACATATAACTACTAAGAGGGTGATGATAAGTATGATGGTGATATTACCTCCCTTGTGGAGCTCTTGAACTAACTTCATATTCCTAGGCTGACCATAATGATTAAGACTCTTGAGTTCATCTAGATAGCGTTTATGTATAAGCTCAGTATCCAGATTAACAGATGGGGATACCTTTAGGCAGTAATAATGCTTATCACCACTACGAGTATTACTACTACCTGCTTCTCCCAGAAGTCATATAGATTATAACTACTCCCATGATATTCAACAGTAATACGTCTACCATGATCATCAGCACCAAAGCCTAGATGTAATGGTTGATGCATATCTTGTATTAAACCTAATGGTATACATACTACTACTAAAAGGATTATATGGTATTACCCATAAGCCAACTTAATTGAACCTGTTCAGTTTTATCTGCAGCTATACCCTTATTATTATCTCTTTCATGACATAGTCTACCAAAGATATCAGTAACCTAAATCATGCTAGTAGTAGGACACCTTATATGAAGCATTACCGTCTCATAGAGACCTTCTTTATTGGCCAACCTTTCTGGATGTTCTACATCAAAGTCACATTGCCAATTCCTAACGTACGGAGTATCAAGTAGATTTGACGTAGCTTGCATGATCATACCGTGATTGGGTCTCGTAATGGTTTTCGACTGTCCTATCATATTTAGTATACTGGAGATTATCATGAGCATATCTTGACATCCATGATAGACTTCTACCTTCTAGAAATACATCAATATCCTCCCTAAATCACAGTCTGTATTAATAATCTATATTATGTTATTACATATCCCTATGTGACAACACTCTACCAACAGCATCACCTATACGAGCATGTAACTCCTTATCCCATCCCAATGTTATTGATGGTAGTAGGATGAAAACAATATGCCACATAATGGTTGGATAGTGAATGTACTACGATGCAACACATAGTGTTCGAGTAGTAGTTTATAGTTGTAGTTTGGGCGGTAAAGAAAGCTATTCCTACTCTATAAGGTACAGCCTCCAGCTATCCAATCTTTATTCATATACCCACTATTCCAATCATATAACGTATAATAACGATAATACGACTGATACAATAGAGGGAATCCATCAACAACCATTGCAACGCAAGTTGTTATGCTTGCCAAGGAATATAGCTTGACATAGCTCATAATCGATCATTATGGCGTTCGCTAAATGTCCTAGGGAAACTGGTGTGCGCAAGATACACCACATTACAGTTACTTATTCATTATCATCATGGTCTTAGACGAAGAGTTTATTGAAGTAGTCATTGGGATGATGATCCATATAATAACCTACCTCCCTTCTCAGAAATGTCGTGAAGCCTTCAATTCGTTTGATACAGATGGTTCCGGTACTATTGATGCTGTCGAGATGAAGTTGTTACTAACTGCTATTGGGGAGGCTCCTAATGAAGAAGAGTTATTCAAGTCAGTTATATAAATAGATTAGCAGTAGTAATCTAAATTATTGATAGGTTCATGGCAGACGTTGATGAGGATGGTACGGGTGAGATAGGTAATAATGGCCTCTAGCCAATCGTGGTGGTGCCCATGTTGTTATTATTATCAGAGTTTGCTGAGTTTCTACATGCCTTTGAGAAGCAACGTGATGGTTATGCTGATACTGAGGATGAATCTGATACTCGTAAGCCTTCCTTTAGTAGTGAATAGTTGATATACCCCTTCAGTTGACGCCTTCGTGGCTCTTGGTGGTAATAGAGATAGATCAGGATTTGTAGATAAGGATAAGCTTATGAGGATCGTTAAGGAGGAGTTTGGTATGACCATCAAGGTTGACGTAATAAACCATCCTTTATATTATCAATAATGATTATGGTTATCAGCGTTTGATGGAAGAGCTTGATCATGATAAAGATGGCAAAATCAATTTCGCTGAGTTTGCCAATTTATTCATGTAGTATGGATTTGATACTACTACTATCATCATCATCGCTGTTGTTACTATCATAAATGATGTTGTTTTGTCAATTTGAACAACCTTGGGGATCCTACATCCACTCTTTATGCCTCATCATCACTAGGTTGGTAGCAGTGACCATGCCTTTAAAGTATATGTAACAACACTTTAAGGGATGTATAGGGATGCTTATAACACTGTGGAGGTGTTTGTGGATCATAACTTGAGTTTAAAATAGTATCAATACTATCGTTAGTATCAATATATTGACCATGACTATGAAGATTGAAGAGGCTGTACTGTATAGTAATGGTAGATGTGAGGGTATTGGTAGTGATAAATGCGGATATATAATACATCAACCACCGAGACATAATTATACAACAATACATAAGGAGGATGGAGAGGTTATCAGGATGGTAATAATAATATAGACAACATAGAGCATACTACAACATTATTACTATCATCAGCAAGTGGAATTCGCAACATCTAAATATCGTCCTTATCTCGAGGATTTATCACGCTGGCAGTGTTTATTCAACCCTACAACCTGTTGTATAAGAAGCCCCTTTCATGGGAGGTCCTATATACTTCTCTACAGTCAGTTTGGCACTGCTATCGTTAGATATGAGGAGGAGGAGGAGGTGGTGTATTATAAGAGTACTAAGAACCTAACATCAGTGAGATGGATGGCTGATGTGGGTGGAGTAGAGGATGTAATATTATCGACAATAACAGGAGATGTTATAGTAAAGGGGAAGATAGATCACGAGATGGAGGCTGTACTTATCTTATATAAATATGCCTCCTATCTGAGATATGCCATACATTGGCCAACACCATCTAGTACTACCTCCACACAGAGTAAGTGTATATATTCAACATTATGCTGTTGTTCCTCTCCTCCTCAGCAAGGAGAGTATCTGATAGTGGTGTATGGTATGAATATAGGATGATAAGGAGAGAGGGATTTATTATTGATGTACCAGAGGATCTAAGAACAGCATTCGGGCAAGCATTTATCAAGGCCCTTAAGAAGGCTAAGGTGAGGAGGATAGTAGATGTTGTGTAGTATTGTCATAGTTACCTTATTGGGTTAGAGATGCTCTGCCAGAGTGGATGAAGGAGGGTTTACTACAAGATGGATCCACTCCACCATCATCATGCCGTCTACCAACAGTGTCTACGAAGTATGATCATCATCATTATGATAATGATGATGATGATGATGATATTGTTGTTGCTATTGACACTCGTAACCCAGTAGTAGAGTTACCAACTATTACACCATCAGAAGAGGGAGGAAGAGGAGGTGGTATGATATCTATGGTAAGGAGATGATAATAATAATCGTGATGATGCTCTTCCTATGGTGGTATTATCACAGTATTAGGTATTCTACCAAGATGCTACCATATGCTTCAACCATTCATCATCATCATCAGGAAGAGGAGGAGGAGGAGGAGTAGGATGCCTTATAGCCCATAATGAGGGTAACTTCCATCTACTACTACTACAACCCAGTGATCATCATGATGATCATGATCTTGATCATGATCTTGACAAGACCAAGAACCTATTCTGGCTCTATGCCCATACTAGTAGTCATACAGCTACACAACTCTGGTCTTCTTCTTGTCTACCTACATCATCTCTTTATACCAGGCCAGTAGCATTAGTACGTATAGCCCTTCGATATATACACAGGAATAGTAGAGTATTACTACCAATCCCACAACCACCACCATCACCATCTAATGAGGATCATACGTTACTACGTCTATTACATCAGCATACCTGGCCTAATGTTGGCTGCTTTTTCTGTTACCAAATGCAACAATCTAATACCATACCAATGCAAGGAGGCTCTTGTTCTTATTATTCTCATCATCAACCCCGTAGACTGTATCGTTGTTTGTTCACTGATCGTAGTAGAATAACATTTCTTAGCAGTGATAAAGGAGGTCGTGGTATTGATGAAGCTACTGGTTTATTCAAGTACATGAGTATTCATGGTGAAGAAAGGGAGGTAGATTCCATACATCTATATTGACGAATACTCCACATCTACATATTCCTTAGATGAGCTGGTCCGGGTGTAGGAAGCAAGCATCTAATACAGTATCACAATACGTCGATGCGGCCTTAGCATTCGTCCGTTGGGTTATCATACAGGAAGATGGTGGAAAGAAGGAAGAGATTGATGATCGATCGGTTACAGAGATTATTGAGGATATAATACAAAGAGGCCGGGTATGTTACGTATTGTCATTGAACATGATGCCCAATATTTAGGATATGCGTATGATACATAAACTTGGTGGGTCCTGCAACACTCGGGAGAGTGCCGCCATTCCATCGCTGGATGCATCAGCAACAATAGCAGCACTTCATGCAACACGAGCATTCCTCAATTGTAATTTTCAAGCTCATAGCTATTAATCACGTATGTCAATAGCCCTTTTCACATCTTGATGTTATTGAGTTATACCAATTGAGATACATCTAGATATGGTTATGATGGGGGGGTAATGACCAAAGGCTACACCGCCTCAGACCACCACTAACATCGCCGCCACCTTCGCTGCTGTCATCCCCATATTTCAATCGGCTCGTCCTTCTTTGAGTGATAGAGTTTTCAAACCGTCACGGTCAAGTACTTGATTGTAACTCGGCGGACTAGTAATACGCTTATTCCACCCATATTTAGTATTCAGTTAAAGAACAGTTCGAGGCCGAACATGAACATCAGTGGAATGTTCTTCTTCCTCCTCCTCCTCGGTGGAACTACCACGGCTGTGAGTCCTCATAGATTACATGAGAAGAGTGATGAAGCATTGGTAAGCAGAGTCAACAGCATACTATCATACACAACAGTTCTGCTATGTATACCATGCTTCAGATCAATGCTAATCGAGGTCTTGGTTGAGTCATAATGAAAATATCGACTGATGGATGACATTCTTGTGCATTCGAGATAAGCATCATATCGCCAATGATGGTTTCTCGTACTCGTCGAGTTAACGGACTTCACGGGTGACTTCCTGATGTACAAGGTGTAGATATGAGTGTCAGTAGTCACATCACTTCGCTTAGAGATGGACGCGGTGATCATGTGGATGCGATGGTTAGGGAAGAAGACTTCCGGCAAGTCGAAGAATGGGGATGAAGATTGGAAAAGGTTCCGAGACTTTTTGATGACGATGATCAAGGGAATAAGCAGAAATGCGGCGATATCATATGGACGAAGGAGAGGAGATGACTCATACATCGATTGGATAAAAAAGTTCTATTCGAAGGCAGAACTTGTGATGCGTTCGATGATCATCTACCTAGAGGAGATAAAGTGTCGCTGTTCAATTCGTGTTGCTGTTCTTCTCCCACAGTTACTACTGTAGTGAGGACTATCGGTTGTATGGATATCATAGATTATTAGAGCAATTAGAGGGAATAGTCCTACTCGCCATAACACAACAGTAACATCATCAAGAATGGATGATGTATCCCTTCGGTGCTGCCATCTGTCCATTTCCAGTATGGGGAGGATGTACCCTAATCCTCGAATAGCTTACCACAACTAGAAGCAATCCCATCATTCACTGCTGGATGGCATTGATCGTTGAGGCGGCTATCCCGTCGTGGTAGTTTCCATAGGAGAACTGTCTTTTAGCGCTGCTCTTCACCGATACTTCCTCAACACTAGCATCAGGTGCTTTTGCGACGTCTTGCGACCCTGTCATAGGAAGGGAACCTCGCATACCTGGTCTCTATCACGCGATGCTCAAGCCCTTGGTACAACCACCGTGCTCTCTCAGATCCTCTACGCGTACGACCTTTCTGTGCTGCCTCCTCCTCCTCTTTCTTTGCGTGTCGAGCTCTCTCTCTGGTCGCACTCTTTGAGCAACAGTTCGATCACATCTCTTAAGTAGTTCATTGCCTTATTATTTCAATCCCTGGCCGCACTCCGAAATGTCCTCGCTATCCTACACTGTGACCGTAGTATCTTCCTCTCTCTTCACCACCACTACTCCAAGAGTATTAGTCTTCATGTTGCCTCACTCTAAAGCAAGCTCTAGCAGCATGAGCTCCCTTCATATCTCTAATAGGCTTGATGGCAAGGATTATCCTGCCTTCAGGTCGTCCATGAACTCCATCTCTCAGATATGTCATAGTCTCCACCAACCTCACTTTTCTTGTGCTTCCCTCGTCTAAGCATAGTGTCTCGGAGCACCCAAGGGTCTCAGGATATACTACAGCAATTCCGAGTCAAATTGATTTTCACCCCTTTGGTTGATGTTTTACCTTTTTAACATTGTTTTCATGGCTTTAATAAAATAACAAGAAAATTGATACCGGTTTATTTCAGAGTTGAAGAGGTTGATTCAACCAACGAACCATTTAACCACGTTGAATTTGCCAAACGAGGGGTCCTGTTCCGGAAATCTAATGGTGGCTCCCCAAGGCAGCAGCAATCAACCCTCAGGCCAGCCTTCATACTAGGTGAACATCTGCAATACCTTCCTTCCCGAACTGGACGCATCAGCGAGCATATATACCTGTATGCAACTCCTACTATCACTAACATAACTATCCAACCCGAATCCGCGCTGATCGCAGATATAGCAACTATTCACGGCATAATATATGGCAGTCGAGGAGGTGTGACAATGATGGTGACATCGCTGAGGAATGGTATGTCGAAACTGACAATATGACAGGATTATCAGCAGCTGCTAGCAGTACTGATATGATGTGACAATCGTCTGATATTAAGACGATGATGATGATGATGATGAACAACTCAACACTCCAGAGAGAGGTGCTCTACAGCACTTGTTGTTGCCATTATTATCACCCTCTATAGGGTAGTAACAAGACTACAGTGTTGGTATTGTCGTTGTTGCTATTGTTGGCGGTCTAGTTCTGCTTGCTTTTCTTTTTCGTCTCCTTTTGTTTATCACCATTAATGTCAGCATTAGGTGGCAACTTGACAAGGTAAATGTCTAAGGCCTCACAGATATCGTTGAGGGTAGTTGCAGCCATCTTGCAGAAAGAGAGGAAACCGTATCTGAAAAGGAGGAGGAGGACACTTCTCATGGCACACGATCTTGATGAGAATGATAATAGCAGCAGCAGCAACACTTACATACAACAGGAGATCATCACAGTGTTCACCCAAGCGGAAGGAACGACCTGATAGTTCACTATCAAAAGGAGTAGCATTAGTGAGGTTAATACCAGGACAAGGGCAGTAGCCAACATTAAGGGCATCAGGGCCTTGCATGCTCTATTCACGTAGCACTCCTCTACAACGTTAGAGATGAGAACATGTTCAGCAATAAGGACGAAGTATATGGCAACTGAAGAGAAATACCGTCGGCAGGGATCGAACCCGGATGCAAGTGATTATTACTGGCATGCAGGACATAACCCATGGACGACTCGCCAGTTTTGAGTAGGGCCGCGTCCATGAAATAGGCGCAGGAGTACAAAAGTGCCAAAGGCATGAGAGTGTACAGACGATATCCTGAGATTGAGCAATCGAAAGGTCCCGGGTTCGAACCCCGGCACCTCCTACCGAAGGAAGTATGTACCCTATCCTTAGAAGCGAAAAGGCAAGTGACTATATCATAAATGGAGAGCATAGAAGCACCAGCAAGGACTGCGTAGCATAGCAACTAACATGAGGATAGGTAAAACTGAGGGTCTCTGCCGCGCAAGCTATTACTATTACCTCTCCTCTAGTCCAGCCAGAAAGGAAGGGAGTTTCCTTACGGAAGAAGTCCTCACCAAAGCATCCACATATAAGGAAAAATAAACCCACCAGGAATTGTGCCTCGGTCACACCACCGACCTCTAGTTTACCAGTATGCATATGATTCCAATGAGGTAACCAGAAGCACGATACAACCACCAATACAACTGGTACGGCTATTGGCAGGTCGTTGGGAAACTCCCCTATACACAACAGCAGTGACTAGTAGTAGTAATACTATTCATCATATTACTACCAGAAGGGCCAAGACATCGTGCTACTGTTAGCATAAGGATACCCATAGTACAGGCATCCACTCCATGATCAAGTATAGCCCCTAAAGGTGAGGATACACCCAACCTACGGGCCTGCTTGCCATCCATGGCATCTAGGGTCTGAGGAAACAGGAGATGACTATCGGCATTAAGATGGTTGCATACCTGTCCAGCGAATACACAGAAGGCGGCCATGAAGAAATGCCAGGTATGGCGGGTCGGCATCAATATTATAAACACGTATATTAGACAAATGGCAGCACAACCAGATAGGGTAATAGCATTGGGGGAAATGGTACGAGGGAATGCCTGATGGAGGTCTACTAGGTTAGTGAGGGGTAGAGGTATTACATTTGTACAGGCATTCCAGAATGGCATGAAGACCATATCTAGAGGTGTGTATTCACCAGCAGCATACCTGAGGGGACAACTTGGGTTAGTATATTGATGATGCAGTGTGTGAATGAGGCGGCTGCTGCCCTTGTTCCTACTTGTGATGAAGGAGTCTGTCCTTGAGCTCATCACGATCTAGATCTATCACTTGACTTCCAAGCAGTGGAACTTTATCCAGAAACATTATAGAACCAGGAAAAGATACTTTATTATTCAACTGCCATTTACGATACTTCAACAATCGCTATCCCATAACACAACAACGGGAACAAAGGGCATAAGAAACGACACCACAAATGAGACCACATATGGCTTGGGAGTAACCAAGTGGATACTGGTATATCAACATGTGTACCGCCCATATGTTACCATCGTATTAGCCCTAGTCAGTAACGCAATACGAGTGTCCCCACCTGAGTACAGTGTAAGGGGCATATACCAAAGATACAGGGTTTATCCCCAACCACATACTATATAAGGATGTGGACACCCTCAGCCTTGCTGGTCATAGTGTCCCCTCATTGATGGCTTAATTCTATTCTTGGTAATTCTTCTATATGCAAAGATAGTGTCTAAGAACTATAATTATGAAGAGCTAAAGTGTGGGAATAAAGGAGGGAGTTCATCACAAGGAATCTCTCCATAGGACTATATTCAGGGGACAGATAATGCACACAAAAGCCACTGCAGCTGAATCGAAAACGCACCTACCGAGAATCGAACCTGGGACCACTCATTTGACTGCGGATACAGGAAAAGATATATCGCTCCACTACGATGTAGTCTACGAAGCTCACATGGATCCACCTCCGTTGATGAGATCCGCAGACCTGTACAGATGCGCCCATGTTACCCCAACCAGGAATTGAACCGGGGACTCACTTTGTGGCGCAATCTCCAACGAACCACTGAATGACAAAATCTGGCGAAAGCGAAGACTGGTCAGAACCACTATTACCAATCTTGACTGGCTTACACACGGGAGTGGTGTATAATACAGTATCATAGAAGATGCACCATACTACTACTAATTGGTCCTCCCCATTGACCTGCTGGTGAGCACTATGGTAGTATTACCAGGTCTACAGCTACCGACAAGAGCCTTCTCTAACTCCATAGTATTGGGACTAATACTAGCCCTCCATAAACGATACCTATCCAGCATTCCCTGATTGACTTGGTTCCATATGTGCTAATGCTCGGCTCATGTAGTAGGACCGCTAAGCTGCTTCACATACCTGACAGTACCATAGTCTTGGGGCATATAGATAACCACCTTTATCGTCCAGTACTGGTAACTTATCCGAGTCTATGCCACGCTGAGGAAATGTAAGATTTCAAGTGAATACTTTGCTGCTAGCCGACTACGAGGACCATCGCTCCTACTACTAATTACTGAATAATGGCGGTTATTGTTCCTCGTAATTTTCGACTTCTTGATGAATTGGAGAAGGGCCAGAAAGGGGAGTGTGCCAGTGGATGTTCATTTGGATTAGAGATACCAGGTAGTAGAAGTAGTAGTAGTAGTAGTAGTAGTAATAGGTGCGGACCTTAATACCGCACCATTAGATGATATTACTCTCACCCACTGGAATGGTACTATATTCGGACCCCCCGGGACAGCCTTTGAGAATAGGATCTATTCTCTCACGTTGGAATGCGGGCCCGAGTACCCCGATAGAGCCCCTACTGTAAGTGGCTGTTTGTAGGATGTGTGATGAGTAATCGTGGTGTTGTTAGGTTAAATTCAATACTAGGATTAATATCAACTGTATCGATACCAAGAACGGCCATGTTAACTCTAGATGGGGCCCCTTGGGGTCGTGGAAAAGGTAAGGGCCTATTATTATGTTTACAAAAGTGCATAGTAAACTCAGGGAGTACACCATCGAAACTGTATTGGAATCATTACGCCGAGAGATGACCTCAGCTGCTAATAGGAAGCTACCCCAACCTGAGGAAGGTGCTTGCTATTAAAGGACAACACTACTGTTGTTGTTTTGTATACCACTACACTGTAAGGCATCTGGTGTTGATGAGAGATTGTCACCACACACTTGGCATTACTCGTATCTTTCTGTTGATGATAGTGATTGAGTTTATAGTAGGGAGGTACTTGCAATCTATATCATCAGTTGATTTTGTTGTATGTATGACGCTATTACCGTTATAACAATGGGTTGTATTATGTCTAGTTGTACTCACAAAGCTGATAAACAATATAATACCACACCATGGCCACATCATGACCGTATTAACACCATACAAACAAGATCACCTACCTCATCGTCCACATGTGAGTTAGAGCAGGGTCATAGTCCTTGATTTACCTTCCCATCAGATACCCCCTCAACCACGTCCAGTTGTTGTTGTGAACAGGCCCGAATATGTAAACTGCATAAGTCAGTATCATTCAGTGGTGATTCATCTATAAGGACCTACATCATACCGGCATCACACCGATTAAGGCCCCTTACACATCCCCCGATCGGCATCACACACTACAAGAGAGTCGTAGTGAGAGAAGGTTTGGATCCCCTAGAGCTGTAGTACAAAGGAGGATGGAGTCTCGTTGCAGGCCATCTCACACGACGGCATAATTTTTGTCTTGATGTTCATGATGTTGTTATATACTACTACCATCATTAATAGAACTAGTACTATTACAACTACTGCCGCTGCCCAATGTAACGTCTGGTATACAGTCGTCTCCTGCCCTCTGCTGTTTCTGTTGTCGTCTACTTCTATCCTTAATAAACCCCTTGTTGGAATACTGTCTTCTTTATATATCCTTCTAGTGGGATCGTTCAAGTAGTAGTAGTAGTAGCAGGAGTACTCAGACTCTGTAGATCTTATTTCCTCTTGAGTTGTGCTATCAAAGTGTGCAGTCTTCTCTATTATTTATGTCCAGCCATACTGTCCATCACCCTCTACTGTTGCGTTAATACCACACCTTTTACAACTTGTGTTAGCATTCTTCATAATGTCGCACAGTGCTCAGATGATCACTCTACGTCCTATGTGCATTGATGACCTCATGCGGTTGAATAACATCAACCTTGACTATTGGACCGAGATGTAAGAAGGAAACTAGTGCAACCTCTCCATATCAGTAATGATCTTTATCAGGTATACCACGTCCTTCTACACTCATTACTTTACTCGATACCCTGAATTATGTGTGGTCGCCGAGTGTGTTGATGCTGAGACTATTGCTGGTTATATAATAGGCAAAGTTGAAGGTAGTAGTGATAGTACTGGTAGTAGTGGTATTCTCTCTCCAACTGTCGTCCTTCAGGTGAGGGTATGCGCTACCACTCTCACATATCTGCATTGTCTGTGGCACCTGAGTTCAGAAGGGCAGGAGTTGCTCGCCAATTAGTTGATTACTTTGAGATGCTCAGTGAAAAGCTACATAATTGTTACTTTGCAGATTTATACGTAACCACACTCTGTTGCTCTGGTCCTGATTGCTCCTCTTGATTCTCAGGTAAGGGAATCGAATACCATAGCAATTGAGTTGTATAAGGCCCGAGGTTATGAAGTGTATCGAACAGTAACTGCATATTATCAAGGCACACCCGTTCAAGAGGAGGAGGATGCGTAAGAGAATATTATATAGGGCAATTGTTATTGCACCACCATTAGGTTGGATATGCGTAAGCCATTGAGCAGAGATAGGGAACGGAAGTGTCTTGAAGGTGCGGGTGCTAGAGTTAAACCCGAGGATGTTATCTAGGTCATCATCATATTCACCTTTACTTGTTGTTTCTTAATAACCATTATTACAGTTGCGTTAATACTAGTGATGGTAACAGTGAATTTGTGCAATCTGTCTCCAGCACTGCTAGTCTTAGCTAGCACTTGGTCGCTTGATATCTGTCTAACTTGTGTTGGAGAGGACTTGTGGAGCAGTACATCTATTGTTGTGAACACTACTCAATGGATCAATCTCATAGTGACGGTAAAGTCAGTACTACTAGTCATGATAATGACGAAGAGTGTACTCCTATTACTAGAGCTGACGAACGTTATGAAGACTCTTCCACCTCGTCTAAGCACGGTGGTGGTAAATGTTATGCTTTGAGGTACTGGGTTTGTATGATATTCTGTTGTCGACCTCCACATGAGATGACTGATGAGGAGAGAGAAGAATGGGAGAAGAGGAGTTTCTGGGATAAATACAAGCCTGCATTCTTCTGTTTTATTCGTTACTTTATTATGTTAATTATTGGTATTCTTGTTGGTATTGGTATATTCTTCCTTGTACTCTACTGTATGGGTATTATTGGTGGATCGAGTAATAATGATACTTCTAATAATACTATAGATCTTGGTGAACTACAATACCCGACTGTTGTATCTGGTTATACTAACATCAGCATTACTATTAGTCCTATTGCGGCAGCATCACCTTATGATCCGAAGGATTACCTTATCGAAACTCAAGTGGCCACTGGTGGTAGTGGAGGTGGAAGACGCCTCCGTTCTGATGGTCCATGGACTGTATCATTGGAGGTTCCTTATGATAAGGATCATCCCACTACTGCTACTCTAACTGGATTGACTGCTGGTGAACAGTTGCTTATCCGTTATAAGATCGAGATGGAGGATGGTCGTGTTAGTAGCCCATCAGTTGCCGTAATGGAAGGCACGAAGGACCCGACTGCTCCGAGTGCTCCTGGTATGACCTCCTCTGATGATATCTCATCGTACCCGTCCTATTGTAGGTTTAATGGCATTCAATACAACTGATAGAAGCGTATCAGTTAGTATTATACCCCCCACTACCACCAATAGTGCCGATATAACTGCTTATGTTATACAGCATGCTTTGGCGAGTAGTAGTAGTAGTAATGACACTACACCTGATAGTAGCTGGACTAAGGCTGAAATATCAAAGGATGATGCTTCTAAGGTGAGCCCCAGTTATGTAGTTACATAACATCATTCCACCTTTTATCAGCCCTACACTGTGAACGGGCTTTCCCCCGGTCAGGCAGTGGTACTCCGTGTTTTGGCTGAGAACTCAGCCGGTGAGAGTGACAACAGTAAACCCTATACGATGGTCGCAGACCAGACAGAAGCATCTACTCCTGATAAGGTTAGATGTAGTCCTTGATGAATGCTCTCATGTGGTTATTGTAGGTATCAGGTCTTGCTGTGCAGTCGACTACGTCTAATTCGGCATCATTGAACTGGACAGCCCCTGCTGACAACGGTGCTATGATATTGAGGTATATCATCAGTGAGGGTGATAATACCTATACAGTTGATGGTCATGATACATCGTACACTGTAACGGGGCTTAGTCGTGGTAGCGATTATACATTCTATATTGTGGCTAAGAACTCTCAAGGTGATAGTCCAAAATCAGATGGAGTATCAACTGCGACAACTGAGAGTTGTGAAGCCGATCCTCCGAGTAATGTTATGTTACAGACGCCTTTCTCTGATGGTGTAAGTGTAAGTTGGAGTAAAGCCAAGAATAATCTTCAATGTGATCTACCAGTAACTGCCTATCGTGTTATTGATGATGATGGTAATGAACTATGCCAAGTAGCAGCTAATGATGATGATGGTGCTCTATGGTGTGATGTTACCGGCCTACAGCCCAGTACTTCCTATAATATCAGAGTACAAGCTAAGAACTCTGCTGCTGGATGGTCTACTAAGTCTTCATCACCTGTTAAGATGTCTACTATTGCTAGTGGTAAATGCAACACTAGGGATCAGATTAGGTGGTGGGTGACTACCACTAACCCCGTCTATAACTCCATGGACTTTACTGATGCTCTTTCTAAGTGTGGCGTTCAAGGTCTTGGAAACGCCGATAAAGTGTCAAGTTGCCTCATTGATTACACTGAGGACCCTAGTAAGACTCCATTCAATCTACCACCAATAACTGATGATTGCTCCATGTGCTATGGTGTGAATGGTGAGTGCTCAATAAAGCACTGTAGTTTCCCATGTGGACTTGGGTCTAAGGTAACCTCTCCTGAATGTCTACAATGCAATGATGACTATTGTAAACCAGCTTTCTATTCATGTGCCGGTTTGTATCCGGCTATTGCCCCACCTGATCCACAGTAACTATCAGGCATCCAACCGTGAAGGTTCCTCGGTTTTGTTTACCATTTCGGAGCATCGATTTGAATTTTCGAATTGATATTGTTGCTCGATAAGCAGTTCTCGAATACCCCTAACATCGGTATTTGTCCGTGTGTTGGAGAGGATCTCATCATTTTGACTATCATCGTTGGTAATGGTGCTCATCTATCGGATGTGTTATGACAATTATCTCCCTTAACACGTTTTCGTTCTAACAACCATCCTTTTGACTCGCCATCTTTTGCGTTGGTTAGTTTATCATCTATTATTTGTTTCTGTGTAAGCACTGAGTGAATATGCGACTTATGAATAATATCTCCACCGTTTGTAGGCATTTAACTTTCGAGGTACAGAATTATGTTTGGTTGTCAATTAATTGGCAATTTAATCCCAAAAGTATAATATTTGGCAAGTAGTACTGTAAACACAAGATAAGCAGTAATGGTTAGACTGTAATATCCAATTATAAGTAAAACTAGCCAAACTTCGTCTACATTCGGAAAACGCCGAAATTGTTCCGTTCGGAACTTCCCTTTTGTTTTTCTAATTTGCGTTCACAAAGAGATAAACACATTGCGAGCACCTGATAAGAACGGATTGGATTAGAAAGTATCACGCGACCCACTTTTCGAGTATCTCTAGGATCGATCACTCCATCATCCCAAATCCTGGCGGTACTGTAATAGCACGAAGACTCTGCTAGGTATTTCTTGGTCACCTAGGGGAATTGAATGGAATCATCGTCATTGTATTTTGCCTACAGCATCTTGTAAAGCTTTTAACTCTTTGGGATCTTTCTTACCACTCACCGTAGTGAGCACCTGATATCGATACATCTACTTACTCATTTATGAAGAACAGTCTACATGTGCAGCCTGAGCAGCGCCCATCACTGAGATCTGTGCGTTCGGCCACATGAATAAAAATTCGGGATCATAGGCCCTTCCTGAGACGAAAACTACTGTGGCGTTAACTTGTATTTCCTTTACCAGCCATCGCATAATTTCCAGCTCCATGTGAGCCTCCAATTATTATTGTTATCTTTGGTACTGTGAGACAAGAAACTGCTCGAACCTAAGCGTTGCTTTGTGAAGGCTGAGAACTTCACCATGCAGGTCCCACCATTTTAGCACCGTCTTTAGTGATACCCTGGCGTTCGTAATTTTTACCAACCATAAAACCGGCTATATTCTGCAGGAACACCTGTGGAGGCTTATGTGATGCTGAGAGGCTTCCAAGGAGTCCTCACCACAGGCATTCTGCGTTGTTCGCAAATCATGAGGAAATGTGTGGCCTTTAGTGCGGCCTGCGAGGTGAGCGGTCCCCCAAGATGATTGGCCAGAAAGCCTGAGCAGTAGTAGCGCTACACTCTGAGGGTGCCGCTATCCATCAAAGCTACAGGAGCTAACACTGACACTATGCTAGGGTTCTTATTCCTTCCTGTTCTATTTCTGATACGATTTTGATACAATACTCTGTGTAATCACTGTCCCCCTTCATCTGTCTACAGAGATGACAATACTCCGCTGTAACACTAAGGGGATCTTTCTTTTCGGTCTGCCTTTCCGCAAGAGGCATTCCTCAAGCCATCGCGACTAAATTAGACCGGTTATTCAACTTCAGTGTCCAACAAATTCTGTCTAGCTATCGGGCGAGCGAAATGTACGACGTTGTTATGAAGGACCCACCGGTGAGGGGTCCTCCGCAGATGCGGCCCATCCCACACACTAAAGTGGTGCCAAAGCGGGGCTTGAACTCGTGGAACCTGAACTGGTCATATTAATGATGCATATACGGCTTCTGTTGCTGACCTGCTGCCATCCAAGATCCTCACCAAGACCTCATAAGCATTGATAGTAGCCAAGACGGTACCAGCAGTTGGTCCACTAGGAGCAGGCACAATACAAAGCATGGTGGATGGTGACACGAGGGGAGGAGACCAAGCCAGAGATGGAGGCCCTGCTCGAGCAATACACAGTAGGAGAGCTCGGAACTGATAACCTGATGTTATGAGCCTAGTGGGGGTAAGTGTGTCCCCCATAGTATGGGTATCGACCATCCCTCTAAGGGTCTTAATGGCACTCTTCTCATCAGCAGCCATCTGAGTCATGTCTAGCATAACCAAAACCCCCCTTCTACTGCACTCACGTTATCAGCTACTCCCGACACTGTGGTATGCATCTCAGCACCACCGAGCTCCTGTGGGCCAACCTGATGATGATCATCAATAACGTCGATGCTGATGTGAAGACTGAGCACTGCCTACTTCCTCTCCAGTGGCAGCCTTGACCAACGGAGGGCCTGCTAGGTATATTGTACCCTGTTCCTTCACCATGATCATTTCATCACACATAGCTGGGATGTATGCACCTACAACAAGGACATACGCCATCGTATTGACAACGTCCCGACCCACCTCCAGCAGTGCTCATACCACACACACACGCCAACTGTGGTATGCCCATACTGGACATTCTGGCTTGATTGCAGAAACCTCTACCACCCGTCTCAGGGAATACATCAGCTTGAAGGGGTAGGAAGGCACCACCGGAATCAACAAAGTAGATACAGGGCAAGTGCAGGGATCTATGCAACAGATAGGAGCATGGAGTAGTGCTGCAGTAGCTAAGCTCACTCTGCAATGTGCTGAGCTCTCAAGTTCTTCTTAACACCAATGGGGAACATAGTCCCTCCCTTTATAGTGCTTTCATTGCTGACTATCAAACACTCTACTCCATGTATTATACCAATACCAATGACTATGGCCCCTTTATGCACCTATCACAACAACAACATCATCATCAATACCACATGTCCCGACTACGACTAGAGTACCTTCTTGTCGTACATCCCATACGCCGCTAAAGCACTCAGCTCTAAAAACTCCGTACCATGGTCACTAAAGGACGAGACACTCGTATGGCAATCCATATGAAGCCTCCTCACATAAGCAGGTCCACACGTTCCCTTGCAAGAAGCTTCCCCCTACTCCTATGTAGTTGCACCGCCTTGGCACTGCCACCCTAAGATGGTTCATCATCATCATTACCTTCTTGCCCTCGACGACCAACAACACTACATCAGAGACCTCCGCCAACTTTTGCTCTAGACTTCTGCACACTCCTTCCATATGCTCAGTATTCCTCTTGCCCACTGCCGACTCCGGTGATAGCTTAGACATAAGCACGCCAGGCACAGCCCTCCTATTGTGATGACCTGAATACACTCTACCATCATCTCCTCCTACTGTACACATCAGCCCACTTCTCCCCTTAGCGCCGCTCTCTCTATCCATGTGGGATACTTCTTTTAACCACATAGAACTCGGGCTCCTACCGCTCCCTCCACTACCTAAGGAGGCCCTCACCAACATACCTTCAATGACGACTACTTGGTACCAATAGCGACAGCTTGTGGCACTGGGTGTGACTCAAAGGACTCCCCCTCCTCATCCACTTGGGATTGCTGTGTACCAGCAGTAATGGCAGCAGTGATCGTGACAAGCGTCTGGTCTTCCCCGACTTGATCTCCTTTATTCACTTGTACACTGACAACCTCCCCTTTAGAAGGTGCAGCTATCTACCATTGGCATCTCTGTGGTTTCTGGTATCATCATTATTACCTCAGTCTGAGTTTTCATACTTTCTAACACCACTACTACGTCCTCATCTCCAACCTTATCACCAACTTTAACTTTAACATCACATACGACACCTAACCACAGATTGACTCACACTGAGTGATGTTGCATCCGGTTCACCACCCGCCATAGGAGCGCATATCGCTACTTCTTCTACTACTGGTGATTTATCTTTCGGCTTCTCCTGTTTCGATGAGACCGTCATATGCTCAGACAGAAAGGATGTAAACACATCCTCCTGAGGCCAGCCTCAGGGCGGCTCTCGTTTTCTATGTGTTCCTACCTGTCTTTCGGCGAAAACTTTATGAGATAAGATTTCCAACAGCCTTGGGACATTTGTACGCATACCAGGGCCCTCCAAAACCATTGCCTGTAGATAGACAGCAGCGCAGCATGATGGTTGACCGTCGAAGCAGTCACTGTCACCTTCAATCCATTGACAACACATTCAAGAGCCTCCGTCCAGTCTTTACCGACTCCAATAACTTTCACCAGGAGAGGATCGAATTCCAAACTCAACCTAAGTACACAACCTCTGATGAGAACGCCCTAGCCGGGAATCGAACCCGCGACCTGCCGGAGGTCAAACCGAACCGCCTACGACCAACTCTGTGGTGCATAGCCCGAGTACTACCTCTGTCCTTGCACTATACCATGATCAACTCGGAGCCCTGAGATGTGCCGTGGTACAGAAAACCTACAAATCACAGCTCGATAATCTCCGACAGGTCTACTCCATCTAAGCAATATGATTCACTTCTTGTGTCGCGCTAGAGTCGGCGCTGTCCCCGTCCGGCTCTCATGACAATAGGAGGAAAGATGATATTCTCAGGGGACTCGAGGATCGATGAAGCACTATGAAGAGTGGTGGGTAGTAATTATTCGTTTCGTTTTTCCCTCAACAATGAATAACCCATTAGAATCACGGGGAGGAGCGGTACTCCATGCGACGGAGTCCCTTTCAAGTACCGTGGATAAACAGAGCGACAACAACAATAACTCCATCACTGAGGAAAGTTTATTGCCGAACGCGGTGTTGCAGACGGCCTCACTGGACGATAGTACTCCCAAACCGGATGCTCAGGAGACAACTCACAGCAGTAAATGTTATGCTGTGAGGTACTGGGTTTGTATGATATTCTGTTGTCGACCTCCACATGAGATGACTGATGATGAGAGGGAGGAATGGGAGAAGAGGAGTTTCTGGGATAAATACAAGCCTGCATTCTTCTGTTTTATTCGTTACTTTATTATGTTAATTATTGGTATTCTTGTTGGTATTGGTATATTCTTCCTTGTACTCTACTGTATGGGTATTATTGGTGGATCGAGTAATAATGATACTTCTAATAATACTATAGATCTTGGTGAACTACAATACCCGACTGTTGTATCTGGTTATACTAACATCAGCATTACTATTAGTCCTATTGCGGCAGCATCACCTTATGATCCGAAAGATTACCTTATCGAAACTCAAGTGGCCACTGGTGGTAGTGGAGGTGGAAGACGCCTCCGTTCTGATGGTCCATGGACTGTATCATTGGAGGTTCCTTATGATAAGGATCATCCCACTACTGCTACTCTAACTGGATTGACTGCTGGTGAACAGTTGCTTATCCGTTATAAGATCGAGATGGAGGATGGTCGTGTTAGTAGCCCATCAGTTGCCGTAATGGAAGGCACGAAGGACCCGACTGCTCCGAGTGCTCCTGGTATGACCTCCTCTGATGATATCTAATCATACCCGTCCTATTGTAGGTTTAATGGCATTCAATACAACTGATAGAAGCGTATCAGTTAGTATTATACCCCCCATTACCACCAATGGTGCCGATATAACTGCTTATGTTATACAGCATGCTTTGGCGAGTAGTAGTAGTAATGATACTACACCTGATAGTAGCTTGACTAAGGCTGAAATATCAAAGGATGATGCTTCTAAGGTGAGCCCCAGTTATGTCGTAAACCACACTTTGTGGATATTATATCATTCAGCCTTACACCGTTGATGACCTCAACTCGGGTGACTATGTAATTTTCAAGATCTCTGCCGAGAACAATGTCGGAGTGAGTCCTTCTAGCAAATCCTATAGTATGACTACAGACGAAGCTGATGCTTCGTCACCCGATCAGGTAGGGCGTGTCTCCGTGGATCAATGCAGAGTGATGATCTCAGGTCACCGACTTAGTGGACAACGGTAGCACCTCCAACTCTGTCTCGTTGAACTGGACAGCCCCTGCTAATAACGGTGCTATGATATTGAGGTATATCATCAGTGAGGGTGATAATACCTATACAGTTGATGGTCATGATACATCATACACTGTAACGGGGCTTAGTCGTGGTAGCGATTATACATTCTATATTGTGGCTAAGAACTCTCAAGGTGATAGTCCAAAATCAGATGGAGTATCAACTGCGACAACTGAGAGTTGTGATGCCGATCCTCCGAGTAATGTTATGTTACAGACGCCTTTCTCTGATGGTGTAAGTGTAAGTTGGAGTAAAGCCAATAATAATCCTCAATGTGATCTACCAGTAACTGCTTATCGTGTTATTGATGATGATGGTAATGAACTATGCCAAGTAGCAGCTACTAATGATGATGATGGTGCTCTATGGTGTGATGTTACCGGCCTACAGCCCAGTACTTCCTATAATATCAGAGTACAAGCTAAGAACTCTGCTGCTGGATGGTCTACTAAATCCTCATCACCTGTTAAGATGTCTACTATTGCTAGTGGTGAGTGCAATACTAGGGATCAGATTAGATGGTGGGTGACTACCACTAACCCTAGCTACAATGGGCAGACGTTCACTGAGCAGCTTGAGAGCTGCAGCGTAAAGAGCTTTGGTAAACCCGATAAAGTGTCTAGCTGCCTTGTAGATTATACGGAGGATCCCTCCAAGACTCCTTTCAATCTATGCCCGATCACTAGCGATTGTGGTATGTGCTTTGGTGTGAACGCTCAGTGTTCTATGTCGCATTGCAGTTTCCCATGTGGTATGGGTACTGCCGCTAACTCAGCTGCGTGCCTTGAGTGCAATGACCAATATTGCAAACCTGACTTCTACACTTGTAGTGGTTTGTATCCGTCCGTAGGACCTCCTGAACCTCAGTAATAGCATTACTCTTTTATATAACACGTGCCAGGCTGTTACCGTTACTCCTACTTTTAATCTGATATAATTTTCACTTCATAAATCCAATCAGCCACTGTGAGCTGATTGCCTACGATTAGACAACTACTACTCTTTTCAAAAAGTTATTCCTATTGTATTGTCAATCACATGTAACTACCCATCGGTACTTATCTATCATTGACTTCCCTCCAGGAGCTGGTGTCCATACAACTCTAGCTTGTATAGCACATGCTATCGGTGATGGTGGGCTTGGAGGGAACACAGCTTTCAGTGGTTCACCTGATCATGGAGGAAACTAGCCGTGCTGAGATATATGTTTGCTTTCCTCTGCTGATCTCAAGAATTTCCACACTGATTATAGATTCGCTTGTATAGAAACCAACAAGGATATTCCAAAATTTTCGCCTAGAATTTTCCTATTGTCACCAACACATGTAGTTGACTACGATATATTTTTCACTACTACCACTTTGGCGCAAGAGGCTTACTACCAGCAGCTAATTTCATCTGAGTCTGGACCAGATCAATGCCGAACGCCTCTTCAGTCACAGTGTGCTCAACTTGTATACGAGGGTTCACCTACGACGATAGTAAAGGTAGTAGTAGCATCACTGGCATTATACCTCTAGGAAGATGAAGTCTTTGCCCCCCTTAGCCATGAGGAACTCGACAGTTCCCACAGTTACATAGCCTGACACCTTAGCAAGACCACAGGCTGCCTTCAGAATACCCTCGGGAATGTCCACCTAAAGAGGCAGTACAAAGAAAAAGGATGATGGAGAAACTGATCACTTGAGGTGGGGCTATTTCGACAACCTTTTGATTCCGAAGCTGCACACTACAATCTCTAGTGTAGGCGTGTGACACGTGGCCAGTGGTGTCACCAAGAACCTGTAGTGCTTGTAGCACGAATGTTATGTCAGTTACAGTACATCCTACTTGCACCTCTATATGTTTACTATTGGCCCACCATTCTTCCACAAATACATCGCCGTTACCGAAAGAGGCCAAAGCCTCAGCAGTACATCTTTCGAATGCTGCCTTCAGACCAGATGATGATGATACCTATCGACACCACCACGAGTGGAGGGAATACTCATGGGTTGTTATTGTTATTACCACTCTCATGCCTCTACCACCACCTCCTCCAACTGCCTTTACAACTACTGGGTACCTCAATCCAAGTCGGGAAACTTCCGACTCGCATGTGCTCACATCCTTTACAATGCCAGTACCTTAAAGACCATAGGTTGCTGTAGCGGTAATATCCAAAGCTTCACTTCAAACAGTCGTGAGTTCGATTCCCGGCGACACTACCTTTTGAAACCGGCACCTCAGATCGAATTGCCATATTCCTCGCAGCCGTCTTATCACCGAAAGCCCGTAAGACCGAAGGGGACGGGCCAATGAATTTGACACCAGCCTAGAAGATAAACATGATCCCAGCAACAGCACCACCACCAGCAACAGCAGAGAGCTCACCTTCCCACAGGCCTCTGCTAACTCCCATGATTCCGAGAGGAAGCCGTAACCCGGATGAAGAGCATCACATCCACTATCAACAGCTGCCTTGACTATAGTAGATACATCAAGGTAAGCACGAACACCCGAACCAATCAACAACGAATTATCACATGCCTTTATATGAGGAGCCATCTCCTCTCCTAAAGAGATGCTGAACAATCATGATGATGGTGATACCTACCTTGGACGTATACCGCCACACATTGGCATCCAAGGGCATGGCAAGCTCTTTCGATACGACAGGCTATCTCACCACGGTTGGCGATGAGAACCTTTTTGAAAGGAGGAGCCAAGGGAGGCATGGGTGATAACTGGATGAGGGTTTATGAACAGACTCATAACACAAAGATAGTAATGATAATAGAGTAACACTCAAGGAAAAAAGGGGCATGTGAATGAGGGTAACCATTTGTATAAGGACTTAACAGACAACTACTATGTCAGAAGAGGCTCCTATGACTTCAGTGCTGCCAGGGCAGAACACTGCGTTTCGTAGTAATGGCATCAAACACAGCCTCCATGGGGTCGAACCCGAGACCTCCTCTCGTAGCGCGGTGACTGCCGTAGTGGTAAAGGAGGGCCTATATTGAGGTGACCGGCTGTCGACATATCAGGTATTTGGCTGCCGACACATTCATTGCAAAGGCACCTATGATAACAGGGAAGGGCGACTGTAATCCTCCTCCCTTCATAAAGGCATATAACATACCCGCTAGCCATGGCATCAGCCTCATTATTATATTGTTCAGGGCTTGAGCCGAGACTTTGTCGTTGCTAGAAAATGTACACCGACCTTTGCTGCTGATAGATTGCAGTCTGGAAGAGTTGAACTCCTTCTACCCCATCATCATCTGGCTTCCGTCTGGTAGAGTATTTGCAAACCCCTGCTGCTGCCGTAGTGAGAACTGATTAGACGGCCATAAGCCACTATTCTACTTTAGTCTACCATCACTATAATACAACCATGTATGTTGTGAATCACAACTTGTGACCATTACCAGGCATAACACTATCATGATCGATGGTACCCTCCACTGCCAGTGGTGTACACTAGAGGATACCCTCCTGCTGATACTCACAATCGACAGAGGTAACCGGGACACAGTCTGGACGCCGCCTCATGCCTACCTTCATGATAAATATGCTAAGACTCGTAAAGATAGATGTAGCCGACCTGAACCCCCCGTCCCCCACTGCTACTTGTGGAGGTGGCCGACGGTGGAGTGAACTGTTGGCCATCGTAAATGACTCATTCATGAACGCGAAGCCTTGGGTAGATAGACACCTCGAAGATTCATAACATGTCCCTGTTAACACACTCATCATCAATCATCGAGAGCAGGTGGAGACGGGGCGTATTCATCTATCAAGTCGAGTATCTGCGGGGCGTTACAGCCTTCTACCTCGGCTACTAGGTTGCCATCCTGAACATGCTAACACCTCAATATAAAGCGTAAGAGGCCACCTTGTCCACCTTATAGAGGAGGAATCGTGGGCTGCTGGTACTCTTGAACTTCTCTGAGTATTCTCCCACGGTCTGGCGATCGATTTGGATAAAGTTTATTCGATCATCGAAAGCATCCATGTTGATCTAACAAGAGAGCATGTGAAAAAACTGGCTGCATTGAGCTAACCTGTAGGTTCTTGAAAGTGGGTACGATCTGTTGACAAGGACCACACCAGGCCGTGTATACGTCTACTATATGGAGCCTCTTATCCTTATCATCCTCTATTACGGCCCGGAATCTAAGGGGAGGTCCTCACTCATATGACTCGAAACAGGTCCGTTACTGGTCCTCATCAGTGTAGGTTGATATCAACTCCTTCTTGTTCGCCATAGTAGTGCACTATAGCAATGCTGGTTTTTAAAAGTTACGTCGACGCATGTTATTTAGCGCGCGCCCTAAAATACGGGGATTACGTGGGGCAGCAGGTGTAGTGGCCTGACATGAACAAACGTCCTACTGGTTCGGCTCACTCTCCAGGTTGATGAGCATATTACGACGGGCTTCTCCTCAGGGTGAATGAGGGTGTTGAGTAATAGTAGTAAATTAACACTTGATAGAGGTGACATTCGATGTATCATCCCTCCCCTATTGGTTGTACCCTCAACGGTGGAAGTCTACGGTCTACCGTAGCGAGGCCCTCAGCTCTGGTACCATACGAGAGAATAGATCCAAAGGTGATAGTATGGCCCACTGTAAGGAGACCCTCCCCCCTTTAGATGGATAGGACGGTGATGACCATATGGTCATCAACAGCTCATGCTGGTGTACCCTCCTCTATCACTCCATCATCCTTCCATCATCTACAGCTCCTAGTCGTACATGCCCTTCTTGGTGGGGCTCTTACCGACACTGAGGGCCATGGGTAACCCATCACATAGGGGGGTCCATGGGGTAGTGCTAGGTCCGACAGGAGGAGCCGCCTCTGTGGACGAATAGCTAACACCGAGACCGACATCGTCACCGATGGGGACGATAGTGAGGGCAGTAGGGTGGTAGTATGAGTCGGAAAGTCTCCAGTAGATACCCCAATCGACTACCTTACATTCAAGCAATGGATAGTTGGTGTAGCGGACACATACACCCCCTCAGGACATGTGTAGGTCCACCGCCACCGTCGTGGCCTTGCACGCCTCCTGTTCAGGCCTGCTGATCTCTTGAATGTTATAAGCTCTCGAATCATCTCTACAGGGAGACCAGCCTCGACCTTGATGGAACAACCACCGTTGGTGACGGACCCTTTAGAGGTGGACCCTCTATTCCTCACCGAGGGCTCCTTTGACCTAGTATGCCCCGCCGAGCTGCTCTCGATAGTCTATAAGGCGGCGGTTGAGATGAGACGGAGGGTGATGGAGGTTGAGAACCCCGACAGGCATAGACCACTGATAGGCTTTGGTGAGGTCCATCGTGGCCATACTAAGGAGGAGTCATCGGCTGTGCAGAGGAGTGACCATCTAGAGGTAGACCCACCCTTCCCCCCTCCGAAAGTGCCATGCCCTCCTGACCAGATCGATGTCGTATCTGCAGTCACGCTCACTTCTCTCGGTAGAGAGGTGGGTGGTAATGAGGTTATCAGCCAGTCAGTAGGAGAGCCCGATGCTCTCTTTGAAGATGGGTGTGCTCTGAGTATGGTAGAGAGGAGCCTCTTGGGTGGTGATGAGCGCCCACTCCAAGGGGCGGTCCGGTCTCGTCCTGTCTTCATCATGATTACCAGTAGAGGCTCACCGAGGACATCTATAGTGGAGAGGGTTTGCAGGCTGCTGGCCGACGGCTCAGGTCAGGATCGGCTTCCGTCCTCATGCTCATTGTGGTGTTCAGAACACAGGGGCCGTCTACAGCTGGTGTCTCCTAAGTATGTATTGGATGTGGCTCTGGCCACTCCCACTGACTTCCGCACTCCCCTACAGAGATGGGCTATAGAGGAGCTGCATCGAGGGGCATCTCTAGGCATGAAGGTAGACTGAGAAGGGGCTGGTCATCGTCACCATCATCACCTTTAGGTCGTCCTTGATATGATGTTGGAGATGGTTTGTCGTAGTACTCGATGCCAACAGGTTGGCCTTGTCATGGAGTTACCAGAGCCGGTGAACACCCAACAGGTGGGGTCGTGATGGTGGTGGAGATGGAGTGGTTGGAGTAATTACAGGCTGAGGTCATGGCACGATGGCTGCTGGAGGCTGATGAACTGTCCAAGGAGGAGATGATGGATATCGATGCGGTCTTCTGCCCTCCAACGGTAGGTGCACTGGTGAGGTTCCTCCGGATGCTCTACTTCAGCAGAGCTCTCCTATCGAGAGAGGTACTCCAGTGCCGAACCCCCTTAAGGACTTATGGCCAGCCCTACAACGCTTCTCCATCGACTCATGTGCCACCAGCCTGTATGTCGATAGGGGCTCGGGTGTTGAGGTGTCGACATGGGATGTGGACCGATTGAAGGCTATGATGGTCGCTATTCGAGAGAGGATACGTAGGGCTGAGGAGAACCCCGAGGATGAGGACCTACAGGTGGGCAGTGCTACGTCCAGTAGCAATAGGCAAGGTATGCTAGTAGGTGCCGGTAGAGGTCAGTGAGAGGGTCATGAAGGTGATGGAGAGTGGTGGGTGGGAGGAGGTGCCTTCCGAGGGGCCTACTGGGATGGAGGACTATCCTGACATCCTAGAGGCCCTTACTGGAGAGTATCTCCTTTATGGTGCCAAGGGGGATGTATTCACATGTCTAGATCTGCATAGGAAGGGAGAGTGGATTGGGGAGGGTGATGGAGGGGAGGCAGAGGAGGAGTACACTAACCTCAGAGGCGTTATCAATAGACTCGTCACGCAGTCAGAGGGGCTACTGGCTGACATCCAAGGGCCTCAACAGACAACTGACTTCAGCTTGGAGGAGGCAACTCTCATCAATGGTGATGGCCATGATGAGTGGGATTTGGCCGAACAGATAAGGTATCTCACCACTGCTCGCACTGGAGGGCCGCTGGAGATGCCTCTACCCTTGGATGGAGAAGGAGGAGAGCCAAAGGATCTCCTGAGGATGGGGTAAGGCTAGTATTGGCATAGGGGTGGATGAGACCGTCGTAGTAGGTATAGTGATGGGGATACCCATCGGCTCAGTAGGGTGTGGTCTCCCTTCCGTCAACACTGCCCAGTGGCCTTTGTGGACGAGGGTGTTATCCTACCCGGTAGCGTTGATTACGCTGTATCGTGGGCGGAAACAGTCTTTATGTGTGCCACAAGAGAGCGTAGGAGGGACTTTATGAGGAACCCTAGAAGGTATTTATGCTCAGTTTTCGCCCAGCATAGGATTACTGTATTCCTCCTATTACTGCCTTATTACTGCCCTCCAGGTACGCGTCGGTCGAGAAGCCCTCGTTTGGGGCAGCAGCACACAAGTTGGGGATAGCGGTGGTGGGTTGTCGACGAGCCGGGAAGAGCTCACTTGCGGCCTCCTTGGTGAGGAAGTTTGATGGGGATATCAAAGCCATTGAGGTCACACACGATGAGGGATGGATTGAGGAGGCTGCGGCACAGATGGGGGTCTTGGAGAATATCAAACTCTTGGAGGAATGGAGGCTCAGTGTTGAGGAGGTGCAACGGAGGAACGCCGAGAAGGCAGCTCAGGCGGAGCAGGAGGAGAAGGCCAATGAGGAGGAGGAGGGAGTCGAGGAGGAGGAGATGCCAAGGATGCCGGAGGGGATACGTACCACACCTGACTGTCATTACCTTTTGGTTGGACCGACAGTGGATGATGTTGAGAAGTGGAAGGAAAGGTGTGGTATGGCGATAGGGATGGTACTATTGATGGATGGTGAGGATGATGATGACGAGGTGATAGAGGTTATACGTGAGAGGATGGAGGAGGTCGTCAAAGAGGAAGTGGAGGCAGGTGGTGAAGAGGATGTGGAGGACGAGGAGGGAGGAGATGATGTGGAGGAGCAGCAGCGATTAGAGGTAGGCCAATGGTATCGGTGATGATTTATATGATACCCTTCTCCTTCATGTAGGTCCAAGCAGAACTGAGTGCAGCGAGGGAGTTTGGTGATAGCCTGGGTCCTACTACTGTACGCCTATCGATCACTAAGAGGGTAGAGGACCTCATTAAGGAGGTCGTACATACTATCGACCCTTTCTTGGAGTATAGGTAGGGAGGGTAGGGAGGGGGGTTCTGGGTAGGAGGACTATGCTCAGGGTGGATGATGACCTAGCCTGTGAGGGTGTGCCTGATCTATGGCTACCTATGGAAGGGGAGGAGGAGGAAGAAGGTGTGGTAGAGAGGTCCCAACCGATATCATCGTATATAAGACACTCCCCTCTATGTGGCCCTTACTGCCCTGTCACTATCATTGATGACAACTGGCTCTACCCAGGACAGGTAAGGAGGAGGAGGAGTGGTTATAGTGTCGATGATGGTCGTGGTGCGGTTAGATACGCATACCGGAGGAGGTGCCAGAGGAGATGGACGCCTCCGCTCAGTGGCTCAGCTTGAATGGGAGAATACTGGGCTTTGCCAATGCTCAATGCAAAGTAAGATGGATAGGTGTTGTAGTAGCAGTTGTGGAAGATGGAGTGGTATTCAGGAGAAGTTTGGAGAGGAGGTAGGGGGGTATATGTCGAGGCTGGAGAGGCGTTGGAGTGATCGACAATTGGGGATGATGCCGCCACCCTCTCGAGTGATGATCATGGGGGCTCAGGGGAGTAGGTTGGTAGAGGGGGGAGGCAATAAGGGTGGTTATTGTCGCTCTCAGCTGGAGTTGAGGAGATGTGTCGGCAAGTCGGGGAGGGAGGAGTAGATGTAGTGAGGCTGCATGAGAGGTCCTACTCGATGGAAAGGTTGTGGTAGTGTTGATGGTGGATGAATAGGTATGCTGAAGTATTACTAAGGATGGTCGAGGAGAGGAGGAGGGCATTGGAGGAGGAGAGGAGGCTGAGACGGGAGGAGGAGAGGAAGTTGAGGATGGAGGAGGAGAGGGCGATGGCTGAGGAGAACGGTGGGAAGGGTAGGAAGGGTGATGTAATTCCGTCCAATATAGGGGTAGATGGTGAGGAAGGACACCCGCTGGATGATGAGGAGCAGGAGAAGGAGGAGGAAGAAGAAGAGGAGATCCCCCCAGCCACTGAGGAAGAGATGCAACACATCCGACAGGAGGCTTTCCTTGAGGTACCGCCCTCTCGTCCATCCTATGATCATCCCGTCCCTGTACAGGTCCTTTCACCAACTCTGGGTGCGTGTGTTATCGATGGTTGTTGGCCAGTAATAGAAGATGAGGAGGGGGAGAAGTTAGAGTCGCTTATGCGGGCATGCAGGAGGATGCCCGAGGTGGCTGTGGTAAGGGAGGGGTATTGTCTGCATCCTCCATCGGCATGATAGGTCCTCACTGCTACGGCATCGGAGGCTGTGGAGACGTGCTTGGACTTGATGGAGATCGATCGAGAGGCAGCGGCTGAGCTGGAGAGGAGGAGGGAGGAGAGGAGGGCGAGGATGGAAGAGAGGGAGAGGTCGCTGGGCTAGTCCGATCCGTCGTAGTGGTACCCGCCACCTGTAGGCTGTTGGCTCTACCAGAGCCCCCAGAGGAAGGCATACCAGAGGTGGAGGAGGAGGAGATAGAGGACCCAGAGGAGGCCCCTAGTGAGGTGGTGATCTATTGCTGGTCCCACTCGTCGTCGATGGGGGCTTGTAGGTAGCGAAGAGAGAGTTCTTGGAGGCTCGCGAGAGGACTGTGCTCGCTATCACGACTACTGTGGAGTGGATGAAGGCCCTTGGAGTCTGTGTTATCGAAATCGAGTAGTGACGTTGTTAGCGGAGCGATGCAGCGATAGGCTGGCCAGGTGTGGTCCGTTGGCTCTACGGCAAGTCCGACACGCCTTCCGAGATCACCTCTTTGCTGAGGACAGGAGGAACCTCATTTTCAAATCTGTCTGCATATCGGTATCGATAGTACTATACCACCGCTTCTCACGACCACCAATCTCAGGTTGATAGGGCCGATGCAGAGGCGTGGCTAAGGTGTGGTAGAGTGGGGCTTTCGGAGGCCTTTGGTAGAGCTGATGTGTATGATATTGATGTTGAGGGTAGGGAGGCGGTGATGGTGGACGATAGGATTATCTACATGACCAACTCTAGGTAGGAGGAGGAGGGCACCCTCTGTTGTGCTCGAGTCTTCCTGCTAATTCAGAGACGCCCTGCTAGCCAAGCCGTTGCCACTCCTCCTATCCCCACCAGTGTCGAGGCCTTGGAAGCAACTCGATACACCTTACCGGTACCATACCCCCACCAATAACGATGATGCATTCTCACCAACAGGATATGCGTTGTTGGTCCTCCTCTGTCGGGGGCAACCAGTGTGGCTCGTCAGATAGCTCAAGTCACTGGTGCGGTTTATCTGAGCCCTTCGGAGGTACCCCAGTTTCTCACACTGCTGAGCTTGTTGGCATCTGTGTTAGATCCTCGGCTGTATAGACCTTAATCATTCATGTCTAGGTCGGAAGCACCTCCTGGATGATCTCACCAAGGGTTGGTATCGGTGTTACGACCATTCTAGTAACCCTCCAGTGTAGGTCGGAGCACCTCGCCTGAGGCCCTGGCCAGGGCATTATCCATTCGATTGGAGAGGGCAGACTGTAGAGAGCAGGGATGGGTTATCGATGGGTGGGTCGGCTGATAGGCTAGTCTGTGATGATGATGATAGGGGAGGGCAGGTACCCCATGGAGGTCTCCGAGTTACCTTACCTGGCTAGGACCTATACAGTGGAGCCGCAGCTGGTCCTTGTCTTGGAAATGAATCGTCGTGAATTCGATCGTCGTAAGGAAGAGGTCCTTGCTAGCCCGGAGCTGATAGTGAATGAGGACATCCTCGAGTCCCATTGGAGGATGTGGAACAGTGGACCATCGATTGATCTACCAACATACATGCTTGCTCGCTTCCTGGGGTCGGCCAGGATCATGACTGTTGATGCTCGGAGGGCCACTGGGGCCCTAGCCTGGCTAGCTATGAGGAGATGCCAGGATATGGTGACCATCATGAGGAGGGCCGTTGGGCTATAGGATGGTGGTGATGGTAGGTCAAGTCGGTGTACTACTATAAACGCCAGCAACAACAAGGCCTGCCATCACCTCTCCCAATGGGGGTACATAGGAGTATAGTAGAGAGGATGATGGAGGAGCAGGAGGGAGAGCTGGTCGGTACAAGGGCCAGGCAGCAGTCGTGCCTACACCGCATCCTCAGGCCCAATGTCGGATGTGCCCAGTTACGTACTCCCGAGGGGCTATGGTCATCGGTGAGATCCCGGTTGAGTACCAAGGTGGACTTTATTGGATTGGTGGGCTGAAGGTGGGCAGCAGTAATCAACCGAGGCACCTGCTACTGCTGCTGTTGGATCAGGCCTCAGAAGTCGCGTCCAACTTGGCGGAGTTCATTCGTAGCCCTCAGGACTTCGTAGGGGATAAGATTAGTGCCTTCGCCAGGGTAGTGCCAGTGGCAGATGATATCACGATGAATGTGTTCAGAGCTCTGGACCACCAAGGCTAGTGATGGAGACAACACTCCCAAAGGAGTTCAAAGGCTACTGTGTTGTCGCTCTGGCCTGCAGTGGCAAGGTTGTGAAGGAGTGTGCTTATGATAGAGTCATCTATAATGGTAGTGCTAGTGGGAAGAATGTCATCATCATCATCATCATCGATGAGATAGGTCGTCGATACTGCTTATCGGACCGTCCCAGCCTGGTTGCCTTCCGTGTATCTCCTACTATGTATATCACCAAGGCTGCTGCTAATGCTGAGGAGGCTATTGATGAATCCATCGCCCCAACTGACCAACACCCTCACTTCGGCACAGGAAAGCCTATCGAAATTGAAGAGACTGTGAAGTGAGTGTAGCCTCCTATATGGTGGTCAGGACTATCAGCACAGATACCTCAAAGCCTCGGTAAGTCAACAGATCACTGCTGGTATGAAGGAGTTGGGCGAGCGGAGACCCTTGATCCCCGGAAGCAGTGGGGCTAAGGAGTAGACAGCTCTAGCGTTTTAGTCGAATTATGGTGCCTATGGTCAGGTCAGCGTTGAGATACTTGGCAGCATTCCTTAGGGCTAATAACCCTCTTATAAGAAGGTCTGCGTATGTTGTTGAAGAGTGTAAAGAGGCACTAGAGAACCTGAGAGAGGCATCGACGGAGCCTGGGCTGGTCACTGATATGGAAAGGCTAATACATCTAGTCGATGATGATGGTTGCAGAGTTAAGAGATGCCCTACATACACCGAAGTGAAATTCGATAATTTATTCCCTGTGAATGGAGACAGAGTCACACCATGAATGTCAAGGAAGTGGACACGACAGTAACCGTTGTATGAAATTGATGGGCCTTGGGTTCAGTGGGACAACTCGGCGACGGCTACATGTTTTGAGAAAACGGTATTCGCGGCACGCTTCGCTCCGCTCAAAATCGCATTGCGCTATAGAGAGAAGTCTGGTGTCTCGTAAGTTATCAGAAAATGTTGTCTCAAAAGGCCACCCTGAAGGATCTGCCCGAGAGCCAGATCAAGGGCAAGAGAGTCCTCATGCGTGTGGACTTCAATGTCCCTGTTAAGGATGGTAAGGTCGCCGATAAGACCCGTATTGTTGCTACCATACCTACCATTAAGAAGGTCTTCGAGATGGGTGCCAATAGCATCGTTCTTATGAGCCATTTAGGCAGGCCTGAGGGCAACAAGGTTGAGAAGGTAGTACAACAAACAAGCCCCTCGGTATTAAGTCATTGTAATTCAGTTCTCCTTGAAGCCTGTCGTGCCCGTCCTTGCCGAGCTCGTTGGCCATGAGGTCACCTTTGTCGAGGACTGTGTTGGTGATGTCGCCATTAAGGCTTGTGCCTCTCCTGCCCCCGGCAGCATCATCCTCCTCGAGAACCTCCGCTTCCATGTTGAGGAGGAGGGCAAGGGTGTTATCGATGGTCAGAAGGTGAAGGCCTCCCCCGAGGCTGTTGCTGCCTTCAGAGCCGACCTCACCAAGCTTGGTGATATCTTCATCAACGATGCCTTTGGTACCGCCCATCGTGCCCATTCATCTATGGTCGGCGTTGAGCTCCCTATCCGTGCTGCTGGGCTCTTGCTAGCCAAGGAACTTCAGTACTTTGGCAAGGCCCTCGAGAACCCTGAGCGCCCCGTGTTGAGTGTATTAGGTGGCGCTAAGGTTAAGGATAAGATCCAACTTATCAACAACATGCTCGACAAGGTCGATATGATGATCATCGGTGGTGGTATGGCTTATACCTTCATCAAGACCCTCTACAATACCCCTATTGGCAACTCCCTCTTCGATGAGGAAGGCAGCAAGATCGTACCTGACCTTATGAAGAAGGCCAAGGATAAGGGTGTTGAGATCCTCCTACCCACTGACTGGGTTTGCGCTGATGACTTTGACAACAACGCTAACACCAAGATCTGCACTATGGAGACTGGTATCCCTGATGGTTGGGAGGGCCTCGATGTTGGTCCGGAGTCGACTAAGCGTAACCTTGAGTTGTTGAAGAAGGCTAAGACCATCATCTGGAACGGCCCTCAGGGTGTATTCGAGTTCCCTAACTTCGCCAAGGGATCCTTCGCTCTCCTTGATGGTGTTGTTGCCGCTACTAAGGCTGGTGCTACCTCCATCATTGGTGGTGGTGATACTGCTGCTATGGTTGAGCAACAGGGCAAGGCTGGTGATATCTCTCATGTCAGTACTGGTGGTGGGGCCTCCTTGGAGCTCCTCGAGGGCAAGCAGCTCCCTGGTGTTGTCGCCCTTACTGACAAGAATCAGCTCTAAGTCGATAGCATTATAGGGGATTAGTGTGAGCCTTAGAGGCTCTATGCAATTGCTGTTACTCGGCTACTATTCTTTCCACGACTACCAAGTGATGATTCTATTATCAATACATGAGTATTGTGTTAGTCTATTCGAGGGCTCCTTGTAGTAGCTGTGCACACAATGTAATAGAGACAGGTTTAAGGCCGATAGTTTCCCGACTTAATACTATCATTATTGTCAATGGTTGTGAAGAATCGTAAAGCCACAGGTGGTCCTGTAGGAGCAGGCAGTAACGTGTCCAGCAGTGGTCGTATCCCCCAAGGCTTGGAAGGCTTGTATCAAAGCATAGAGCCTCATCTGGAGGCTATCATGCCCTATCTAAGGGCAGCAGTGCCGATTATAGAGAGTGGGGTTAAGAAGGCTAATGGTGTATATACTAAGTACATCCAACCCAATTGGCATGATGGTCTTGGCGACTTCTGTTTTGCCATATTGTTGTTGTTCTTTGGTGGGCAGTTCGCCCTTACTATTCTGGCTTGGGGTGCTTTCCAACAAGCGGGTGGTGGTATGATCAAGCGTGCATGGAAAGAGCTGAATAGTGAGTATGTTGAGAGTATGAGGAAGCTTCAGGAGGATCCTGAAGCTAAGGCCATGTTTGATAGGAATGATGATGGTGAAGTTTCCATTGGGGAGGTGAGTGGAGCTTTACTGAGCTCGGTGCCTTGATGGTGGTGTTGGCGTTCAGGTAGCAACCGCAGTATCGTCAGTGATAGGGGCTAAGACTCCTGAGGAGAAGCAGAAGGCTCGTCGAATGGTTGGTGCTACTATGAGATGTGTTGATCCCAACCGTCTATTGGATGCTACTACTGGCTTCTGGGCGGGTATAGTAGCAGTGATAGCTGCACTCCGATCACAGTTGGCCGCTTGTGTCTCCATCGGTGCCTCTATTGGTCAGAAGGGCGCTGAATACGCTAAGGTGTACCTCGAGAGGCCCCTGTATGAGAAGTTCCCCGACTACAAGGAGTGGGTCGATGCTGGCCTGAGGGCTGGATGCTCTCTCATCGGCATTATGGTCAGCCTATTCATGGCTCGTATTGTTACTGCATTTAACTGTGCTGTAAAGGGAGCTCAGAGGTTGGCTGAGATGACAGTAAAGGCTGTTCATAAGGCGGGTTATCTACCTCAAGTTAGGGACAAGGGATCCAAGGTCCAGACTCTAGCGATGGCCTTGACAGCTCTAGGACTATGGTATCAGGTAAGTGGCGATGGGAAGGGGTTATCAACGTGATATGGGTCGTTGTATTGTTTGCAGTTCTCGACGGGATTCTCCTGCCCGACCCTGATGAAGATCGCCCTCTTCCCTCTGCTTATCTCTGAGAATATCCTCACATTAATAGCTGCTCTGTAAGCTTTGTTGATGACTGTTTAAGTGATTGCCTGAGAGGAGGAGTACCGCCTATGTAGTAGTGGTGGTGCTAATGCACTCTGGCAGTTTCCTTATAACCCGAGATGTGTTGTATTATAGTCGTTATACTTAATAATGCCTTAAGGGTGATGTTATATGGACAGCGATTGGGGACCGGCATGTTGAGGGTTGGACTTAACACATCGTCTCCCAGATGGTAACGGGTGGTTACACGAGTAGTTTACTCGTGTCAACCATCAACTCAACACTCCATATCAGGATTCCATGTTGTTAGCTCGACCGTTCGTTTAAGAATCTATCGCTCGTACGCTACTAGACTAGTCGCCGATCCGACTTCGAGACCCGAGAGGGTGCATACAGTTCCATCTATCACGTTCTATAGGAACCTCGTTCTGTATTGTTACTGCTGCTTCTTGCATTTGTGGTTGTTGTTATTGGATATGTAGCCTTTGAGGTAAATGGGTATATTCACGTGGGACGTATTCAAAGTGAGCGAAGATAAACCTCATCGGAAAGGGAATGACTGCAAGCGGATAAAAGCGGATTTGGTCGGTGCTCGGGGGGCTCATTGGCAATGTAGAGTAGTAGGTACAGTGCATGCAGCAGACGCAGTGTTGGAAGAGTGGTGCCTTATTCGAGGAGTGCATGCAGTCTAAGGATCCAGCATGGGTAGTATTAGCATCATCAGCTATTCACAGGGTTATCATCATCATCAGGTCACGAAGGAGTGTATGCATTTAAGAGACGCTTACATGCAGTGTAGGAAGTGTCTGATAGTACCCAATCTTCGTCTATATGGCAATCCCTATTCTTAGGAGGTTAGCATTGTCGTGGTTTCTGATGGACACTTTGGTTAGTGTTGAAACCACATCGATCTTGCTCGCGACCTTGACAGTTAAGGCTGGTCGATAGTCTATTAGGTCGTTTTGGTTGTTTATATGGATAGGTAGCCGGTTCAAACCCCAGTGGAGGCATTTCAATCATTCTTTGCTGTTAATGTCGTCGTCGTTATCAGCTCCACCACCTCGACGTAGTTCTCGGCTGCGGGTCCTCAACGGCTTTCAAGGGTAATACAGCTGTAGCCCATCCCCTGCGGTATTACCCACATAGGAGCTTCCCTGCTACTTCCCCATCATCGTCAGTATCAGTATCATCCTCCCCGTCAGCGCCCACCAGAAGGGCATCTGTGCGGCCAAGGATCTCGTCAAGGTGCGCCGCCGCCTCTTTTTCACAAACTATTATATATCCACTTCCTATTCCCTTCAGGGGCTCCAAGGAGAGTAGGAAGCGTCCTGCCAAGGATGAAGAAATGATCAATTCGGACAGTAATACCCCTTCTGAAGACACTCAAGGTGAAGACTCCCACATGTTTCACCATGGACACCTCCGCTCAGGTGATGATGATGATGATGAGGCGCGTCTTCAGAAAGCAGCAGTAGAGTTTGCGGATAAATTACAATTATCGAATATCCCTCAAGTGAGTTCCATGAGTCCCAAGTTGTCCATATCTCATCAGGCTCTCCCCTGTCGGGACGAGGAGCGACGTAGTGTTTATAGTTTCCTATGGGAAGCAGTTAACACTGGTGGAGCCGGTAATGTACTGTACATATCGGGAATGCCTGGCACCGGTGATATCTACTTATCATTACACGTGTGGCCTCACGTCGTTGGTAGGGAAGACGGCAACCGTGATGGGAGTTGTGGGAGAGTTGAAGACGAGGATGAGTAGAAAGCAAGTACCAGCGTTCAAGTTCGCCTACGTCAACGCCTTCCGGTTAGCAACACCACAAGGGGTATTCAAGTAGGAAGTCCTCTGATTGTCACCAATGGTCATACATTCCCCTCAGAGAGCTGTACACGGCGTTAGAGATAGGCCCTGCTAAAGTCTCGGCAGCAGTTGCTTATGATAAGCTCGATGCTTACATGCGGAAGGGCAGTCCTGATGAAGCAGTTCTGTGAGTCGACCCGGGTTCGAATCCCACATCCTGCATTTATATGATCAGTGTCGTCGTCATCGACGAGCTGGACTACCTAGTCACCAAACAACAGAAGGTCCTCTACTGCCTCTTTGATTGGCCGACTCTACCCACATCCAAGCTCGCCGTTGTAGCCATCGCTAATACGATGGATCTACCCGAACGGATGATTCCTCGAGTGGCCTCGAGAGTGAGCAAGCGCAATCATCACTGGTTGAGGTCTCTGCTACTCAGCTGGGGTTCGGCCGTGTAAACTTCAGCCCATATTCGAGTGACCAAATAGCCGAGATCATTCGCCACCGTATGGAGGAGTGCGGGGGAGGGGCTGTTTTTGAGAGGTAGCGAGTTAGGGTACTATGGAATGTATAGTGTCGGCTTCAGCAATGCTATCAAGCTATGTGCTATGAGGGTGGCATCGGTCTCGGGGGATATACGCAAGGCTTTACATATCTGTCGTAGAGCGATAGAGTTGCGGAAGAGGGGATGTAAGGTAATGATGAATATCTTGAGGTTGGCCATACATGATACAAAAGAGGTTCAGGTCACACCCGCTGAGATAAACGCCGCTCAAAGTGACACTTTTTCGAGTGTGCTAGTCGACAAGGTCACGTCTCTGCATACCTTCCATT